CGCCCGCGCCCTCTGGCGGCCGGCAGCGGGAGCGCCGGCCTGGCCCTTCCTGAGCAGAGGTGGCCGTTCAGTACCCTCCTTCCAGGCATCTGAGGTGGGCTCCCGCCTCCCTCCCTCTCCCTTACCTAAGCCCCATCCTCTACCCTCATTCCGTCAGCTCTTTTTCCTGGATCTCCAGAAATACATCAATAGTTCGCCATCTGACTCCCCCCACCAAAGTGATGCGGGGGAGTCACTTTTCCTCCCTATTATTGTACCACCTGCTATTTCAAAACAGTAATTCAACTCTTAGCTATTGTTGGCACCAGTGTTCTACTTTGATGAAGTTGTTTTTAATCAGCTCAACTAATTTACTTAATATCCTTTTCTAAAAATATATATTTTTATTGATTTCAGAGAGGAAGGGAGAGAGAGAGAGAGAGCGACATCAACAATAAGAATCATTGATCTGCCGCCTTCAGAGAGAGAGAGAGAGAGAGAGAGCGCGACATCAACAATAAAAATCATTGGTCTACCGCCTAATGCACGCCCCCTACTGGGGATCGAGCCTGACCAGAATAGAACTGTGACCTCCTGGTTCATAGGTCCACTCTCAACCACTGAGTCACGCTGCCTGGACTTAATATCCATTTTTAATGGATTTGGCCAGTAGCTTAGGCCTGAAATCTGGCTTTTAATAGAAGTTTGTGTAAATGTAATTTCCTATAAATGTAATTTTAAGCATTCACCATAATGCAGAAGGAAGGACGAAATTCAAAACGTCTGATAAAAATTAATTAATTGTGTAATACACAGAAGTCAGTTGACAGCGGAAACGGCGGGACTGGCCAGGGGCTCCCTCCCGCTAGGAAGAATGGCAGTCCTGGCAGTGATGGTGCCCCTTAGGTTGTGTGGTGGACTGAAGAGGACAGCAATTACAAAGGAAGGACTGCAAACCCCTCTCATGGTTCTGCACCGCTGTGCCTCCTCCAAGTCTTGACTCATTTATGTCTTAGCAAGTTGATAGGACCAAGTGCTCATCGCCTACCTGAGTTTAGAACCACGACTTCCTGAAGGTCCTATCCATGTTTCCCTTCACACTTGGTTATATGTTTTGGATGCCTACTATGTACTTGGGACTATGCTAAGTAGTCTGTAAATGCCAGTATCTTCCAGGTGGACTTGTAACACTCACCCAGTTGCTAAACATCAAAGGAAGAGCAGTACTAGGCCCTAGAATACATGTGAGATGTGGGGAGGTAGAGAAGAGGTGCTGAATAAATGTTTGTTGTCATGAGCCCTATAAACTTGAATGCTGGTAGGAATATGACCTCAAGTACATTAGGACACCCTTGTCATTTGTCCATGCAAAAGCTGCTGCGAGTTTTTTAAAAAGAGGAAGTCTGGAGACAATTGGTTTTCTCTTTCTGATTTATATTGACTTCTTAACACTAGGAGCTAAATGTTGTGCATATTACCCATTTTGTGTGAGTGCAAATAGTGCCATTTTGTTCCATTCAGCCAAGGTTTGTGGCTACACATCAATACCATTTTTAAGGGAGGGAAAAGAAATATAAGAATCCTTCCTTTCATTTTCTTATTGAGTCCTTTCAAATTTATGGTTGATCCCCTTTTTCCTTCTTTTAAAATTTACCTTCCTGGTTAAGAGTTCTAGAAGGTGTACAATTTCTGAAGCTGTTCAGCTTTCTTCCAAGAAAATATGTCTCACATTAGATATTAAACATGAAAGTAAGGTGGGTCTAAATAGACATAGAAGCCTAATAATTAAATAGCTTGCTTGCCAAGTATGTGTTCAAATACAAATTCCACTTTTGGTAACAAGCAACTCTGGGCTGCTTAATGTTTTCATCAAAATTTGTCATGTCAGAGTGTCACTGTGTGCTGTGCAGGAGTGGGGCTCTAAACACAAGGGAGAGCACAGTCTATGTAAGTAATAAACTCGCCTGCGTTCTTCCTTTCCACACAGACATGGATAAATGGCACATCACAGAGCACCATAACTCACATTTTAAAAAAGATTACCTTTCACTTACTGCAGTCCTATGATAAATGGACTTGCTGGGAGTTCTCTTTCCCCATTACAAGTCGAGAGTTCCCTGGAACAAAACGTGCTCATGAGGACATTACAGATGCATGGAAAGGCCTTGATTGCCTTGGTGCTGCTGTTACTACCAGGAATACCAACTACAAGGGGACAACTTCCATTAGCAAAAAAAAAAAGACAAATAACTACCTTATGTACCCTAAGATTATGTTATGAAGAAAGAGCAGGCCATAGCTCTGTTGTCCTGGAGTTCACCCACCCTCATGCTGGCCCTGGAAAGAATGCTCTTGCCCTGCACAGGCATGAAGCAAGGAGTCACATGATTAAGACACTGGTCATTTTCAAAAGAATTTTCTAAATACTAAAGGAGAACATGAAGACATATGCATAAAACCATAGATAGTGAAATAATCCCATAAACAAGTTCTAAACAGATGGTTGTGATCTTATAGTTACTACTAGAGACCCAGTGCACAAAATTCATGCACTGGGGGTTTGTCCCTCAGCCCAGCCTGCACCCTCTTCAATCTGAGACTCCTCAGGGGAAGTCTAACTGCCAGTTTAGGCCCAGTCCCTGCAGGACCAAAGTCTGGACTCCATTCACTCATTCAACCCATAGTGAACGCTCTCTTGCTAGCATGCCCATTGCCAGGCTCTCGGGAAAATACCAGGAAGCATGAAACGTGCAGTCTCATTAGGGAGGCAACAAAAAAAGTAATTTTACTGCCAAGTGATGAATGCTACAGTACAGATAGATGGAAACTACAGAGGAAATACGAGGTCTGTCAGGGCCCTGGGAACTGGTCAGAAAAGGGAAAGTAACTATTATATGGTCTTAAAGGAGAAATAGGAGGGTCCTGGGTTCAGAAAGAAAGGAAAGACTTCCCAGGCAGAGGCATGGCCTGCAGGATGCAAGTCAACCCAAAGGAGTGGGGGAAGGAAGGGAGTGGGATAAGGTGGCACAGGTATCTTACCGGGCCCTTTCTAGCCTGATGCCTCTCCCAGTAACTTGGAAGAGGCCTCCTGGGCACCCTCAGTGGCCCTCACATGGCTTCAAGGGGCCCTTCTCTCTCTCTCTCTCTCTCTCTCTCTCACACACACACACACACACACACACACACACACACAGGAGTGGCCTTATGAATTATTAGTGGCCTTAGTGATTATTTTCCAAACTTAAAATCAGGCCAATGGTCTGACAAGAGATTCTAATGTCTGAATTAGGGTCTCAAAGGCATAAAATAATTTTGATCATCAGATCTATTTAACCAGTTGCTAACCATGCCCCACACTGCCAGAATCAGTGCACTCCTGGTAATGGGAAAGCAACTAGTCACTGTCCCTGATGCTATAACCTTTAGGGAAACAAGAGAACCTTTGCCCCCTGTGGTAGAAGAACGAGAGGAAGAAAGACCCAGCAAAAACCTTCATCAGAGTAGATCCAGTGGCTCAGCCTCCTTGGCAGCAGGAGCTTAGGAAGAAGGCTCTGATGCATAAAAAAGGAGGTCTGTCCACTGCCCTAGAGGGGCGTATGTCACTGTGCTCCCAAGCCGTTCACAAATTATAGGCAAAACCCATTCTGTCAAGGCAGACTTTCAACCAAGATTTTGCCAGAAGAGGCTTAACCATGGGATTCTTACTGACAGCCCCTGAACCAAGATCCAGGAAATAAATACAACAGAGGTTGCCATCTTGACAGGCCCCCAGGATAAGCCCAGAAATGCAAAGCTATTGCCATTCAATTTTCTGTTCTTTGGAAGACACAGAGTGGTATAAAGGCTTCTGTACAATAAATAAATAAATAAAATGAGCTATCTCCTAGAAACTTCTGATCAGAAATAGAGTAGCCCCTTGGCTATTTTGTTCTCCTTTCTAGAATCACATGTCCTCCTGTTCTCAGTAAAGATTCCTGTGGAATCCCTCCTAACCAGCATACTCACAGGAGCATTGGACTTTTATTAAGAACAGATGGCATGGGCTGTGAATGTTCCGCAGCCCACATGAAAGTGTTGGTGTTTTTGGTGTTGTTGCCGATAGGTAGTTGTTCATTTTACAACAGCTGCTTTCATATGTAGGATTCTGGTTCACAAGCTCAACAAAATGAGTCAACTTTTTTCATTTATCCATCAAGAAACAAGTCAGAGTGACTTCAGGAGTGGGGCCCTCATGTGACCTACTGAGGATGGGAAGAGAAATGCGTTTTCCTGGATTGATCAGACTCTAGTACAGTGATGATGAACTTTTTGAGCTCGGCGTGTCAGCATTTTGAAAAACCCTAACTTAATTCTGGTGCCATGTCACATATAGAAATTTTTTTATATTTGCAACCATAGTAAAACAAAGACTTATATTTTTGATATTTATTTTATATATTTAAATGCCATTTAACAAAGAAAAATCAACCAAAAAAATGAGTTCACGTGTCACCTCTGACACGCGTGTTATAGGTTCGCCATCACTGCTCTAGTAGATATACCTAAAGAGCCATGAGTGCATGTAGAACACAGCAAGTGCCCTCAGAAGCACCTGAAGGAAATTTGACAAGCACAGCACACCCTCTTGGGGACAGGAGAAGGCCTCACACACATGAGGCAGTTGAACTGAGGGTTAAAGAACAGATCGGCAGTCATCAGTTGGAGAAGGGGAGAAGGGCATGCAGCGGAGGGAGCAGGGCGAGCAGGGACATGGAAGTCAGGGGAGCTGTGAGTTTAGAGGCTGATGAGTTTGGTTTGGCATGGTCTGGCCGCTTCAGGGAGGACTTTGAATGCCATGCTAAGAAGATTGACCTTCTGCTGAGTGCAGCAGTGGAGAGATGGGAAAGATGTGTCAACATTCTCCACTGCGAGACTGAGTCTGCAACCTTATCAGAGAGCCAGCGAGAATGAATACCCCATTCATGGGTGTTGGTATTGATTAAATGAAAAAGTTATGCTGTGAGAAAATTAATTCAGTGGTAATGTTCTGGATATATTGGAGAGGGGAAGGAAAAGAAGGAAGAATTTTCAAAACAAAACCATGAGAAAAGGAGAAAGAAAGGGAAACTTGCTGTACACATGCGATAGCTGGGCACTCTGCCTGTTACTATCAAATATACCATTTCACTTAACCCTCACAAAGAGAGAGACAGAGAGAGACTGTTCTGGTTCCCGATGAGTAAACTGAGTCTCAGGTAGGTCAAATACCAATAGCCAGAGCTGCCATTAACAGCAGTGTTTCCACAAAATCAGGCTCTTTGAGGTGGTAGTAGCAACAGGAGTACAGGGAAGGAATGTCTCTGAAGGCTCCTCAGAGGCCAGATCAATAGTGCTTGTGAGGGAGCCAGCACGTAGACCGCAGCGCAGAGGATGGCCGCAGAGAGCCAGATGGAGCAGTTAACTGAAATGGAGATCTGCCAGAGGAAGGAGTTTGTGGAGAAAAATGGAGTATTATTATCATTACTACTGTTACAAATGATGTACCCTCACAATATCAGCAGTTGAAAAGCAACAGCTAAATTTAATAAACACTTGTTATACGCCAGGCACTCTACTACATGCTGTGCGTGCATTATTTCTTGTTAGATAATACTTCGTTTAATTCTCAAAACTGCTTTACTCTTGCTTTAGAGATTAAGGAACATGCCTGAGGACAGCACTTCTCACAGTGGGGTCCACCATCCTCTTACAGGTCCCCAAGACTCTTTCGGGTGCCCAGGTTGGCAAGGTCAAACCTTTTATGACAATACTGAAGCACTTGCTTTTGTCTTCTGTGTTGGTGCAAGAGCATCAGTGGGTGCGAGTGCCCACTGCCTTAGCACTAATCAAGGTGGTGGCAGCAAAAAAGGCCAAGTCCACTTAGGAAGATCCTTGATGAAGCATGCACATTATTAAATGTATTAAATTGCACCCTTGAACACACATCTTTTTTAAATTGTGTGAGGCAAAATGAGGTGTAACATAAAAGTCCTTACGCTGTATATCAAGCTATGCATATCAAGAAAAAACACTGGTGTGAGTGCTTGAGTTGCAACCTGAACTAGCTGAGTCATTTGTGTGTGTTTTTCCACAGTTAATAGAAACACTGGCAGACAAACTATGTTTATTCAGCATTAAGAACTGGGCTAATATGTTTTCAAAGATAACAAAGCAAATGTATCACCTCAAAGATGTTATGTGTTGCTAACAAGAGCTTTTCAATCCTTAAAGACTTTTCAATTAAATCAATGGTGGTGTTTACAAATGTGATTTTTTAAATCTTGTATAACAAAATGAGCCCACATTTGGAAGACCCACATATTTTTGTGACCTCTGTGTGATGTTACAAAAAAAGTTCCATTCAAAGTAAAAGAAAGTGTTTAAAAAGTTCCATTCAAAGTAAAAGAAAGACCAATGGATTTTGAGGTAACATGGTACAAAAGTTCACTGTGTAACTTCAGATTCTACATTATAACTAAGAAACTTCTAATTGGCTCTCTCTCTTCAAGAAGGCAGAGCAACCTCCCCAGCAGACACAGAGATGCAGATCTTTGTGAAGACCCTGACTGGCAAGACCATCACCCTCAAGGTTGAGCCCAGTGACACCATTGAGAATGTCAAAGCTAAAGTCCAAGACAGGGATTTTGTGGGCAAACAGCTGGAGGATGGCTGCACTCTCTCAAACTACAATATTCAGAAAGAGTCCACCCTTCACTTGGTGCTTCCTCCGCAGGGTGGCATCATTGACCTCTCCCTCTGCCAACTTGCCCAGGAGTACAACTGCAACAAGACAATCTGCCTCAAGTTTTGCGGCCACCTGCACCCCTGCACAATCTATTGCCACAAGAAGTGCGGCCACACCAACAACTTGAGGAGAAGGGTAAATAAGGCCCCTCTACCACCTCCTCAGGCCCACAGGGCGGCCTTCTTCCTGAACCCCGTGGCCCTGGGGCCTCAATAAAGTCTTCTTTTCCTTGACTGGAGAAGTGAAAAAAAAACAACCAACAACAACAAAAAAAAAACCACTCCCGATTGTCTTGAGTTTTGGTGGGTTGTCAATGAATGTCCACAATTATATGAAAAGATTATTAAAATATTCCTCCACATTCCAATTGTGTGCCTGTGTGCAGCTGGATTTTCTTCATTTACTTCACCCAAAACAAGATCCCAACAGATAAATGAAGAAGCAAATGTGATAATCGACCTATCTTCTATAAACCAGATAAAAAATGTACTAAAATGTAAAATAATGATACTCTTCTTACTATTTTTTTCTTTTGAAAACTAAACTTATTTTTCATAAAAATATAGTACAGGGGTGTTTAAAGGTAGGTTTATAGTTGTTTGTATGGAAAACAATACAATAATCCTAATATATAAAAGCCCAGGGTCGTAATGACCGATCATGACCGAAGGCTGACCAACCTGGAAGTCCTTCAGTCAGTGCTGGGTTGCTGTGGCGACCCAACACTGACTGCCCAGGGAAATGAGACTCCGAGGGAGAGGCAGGGTCTTATCTGCAGCCTCAGTGGCAGCTGTTGATCAATACTTGCCTCTCTTTCTCTCCCTCTTTCTTTCCAGGCTTCTTCAGCAGCTGGGCCTTTCTTTCTCTCCCAGCCTCCATGGGGGCTGCTGTTCAGCCCTGCCTCTCTGATCAGGCCCGGAGATAGGCCCAGAGATGCTGACTGGCATAGTGACTGACCAATCAGAACCCAATGTGGGTGCTGTGGGGAGCCAAGGATGGCTGTGTGCTTATCAGCGGAGATGTGTGCTTGTCAGCGGAGATTTAACAGCTGTGTACTTAGGGTGAGGGTAGGTTATCTTTTAACTCCAGGCTAAACCACAAGGCTTAATTGGTTCCCAGAGCTGGCTTGGGGGGACCAGAAACCTATTGTGCTGTAAGCTGAAGATGTATATGTAAATTCTAATGGCTCCCAACAGGAACCGCCCCTCCATGCATGAATTTTGTGCACTGAGCTTCTAGTTAATAATATAAGAGTAAACTCTCGTGTACTTACAACTGTAAACCTACTTTTGCTCATTGCTGTATATTAATGTGACAGGTTAATTATTATTTTTAATGAGTTAATAAATGAATATATTCAAACTAGAGGCCTGGTGCATGGGTTCATGCACATTGAAAGGAAATTAATTAGAAGGTGGCTGGCGGGGCGGGACTGGTTGAGACAGGCCAGACCTGCCCTGGAGCCAACCTCTCGCAGTCCCTCCCTGGCCAGCTGCACCTGAGGCAGTGCTGGGGCCCCAAGGGCATCTGTGGAGTGAGCAGGGTCCCTCCAGCAGGTGGGGTCCCTCGGCCTGGCCTGTGGGGATCGGGCCAAAACCAGCAGTCAGACATTCCCCGAGGGATCCTGGAGTGTGAGAGAGCACTCTGCAAAGTTGCTGTTGCTTGGCAGTTCCTGCGTTGAGCGTCTGCCCCCTGTTGGTCATTGTGCGTTATAGATACCGGCTGGTTAGCCAGTCACTTAGCGTTTTATATATATAGACTAGAGGCCCGGTGCATGAAATTCGTGCATGGGTATGGTCCGTAGGCCTGGCCTGCAATCAGGGCCATCTTCTGCAGCTGCCTGCAGCCAGTCCCACCCCCCACTGCCACCCACCCCTGGTTCCCCGTTCACCATCGGGTGCCTGATGGCCAGGGGAAGAGACCAAGAGGTGGTCAGTGCACCTTATAGTGACTGGTCCAGCAGTCATCCTGTCATTAGGGTCAATTTGCATATTACCCTTTTATTATATAAGATAGAGGCACGGGTGGGAGCTGGTTGGCCTTCCCTGAAGGGGGCCCTGGATCAGGGTTGGGGGGTCCCCACTGGGGGGTGGAGCCGGCTGGGACAAGGGGCCATAGGGTTTGGAGGCTGGCCATGCCCCTGATTGGGGTGGGGGTCTCTGCTGGGGGGTGAGGCCGGGCTGGGCAAGAGGTCACCAGTGATTTTCAGGCCGGCCACACCCCTGATCGTGGTTGGGTCCCCACTTGGGGGTGGGGTCAGCCTGGGGGAGGGGCTGCAGGTGGTCTGCAGACTAGCCATGCCCCCGATCAGGGTGGAAGTCCCCGCTGGGAGGTGGGGTCAACCTGGGCATGGGACCACCTCAGGCAGTTTGCAGGCTGGCCACACCCCGGCTTTGTCAGGAAGGACATCTGGAATGACGTCCGGAAGATGTCCAGTCTAACTAGCATATTACCCTTTTATTAGTATAGACTAGAGGCTCAGTGCATGACATTCGTGCACTGGGGAGTGTGGGGGGTCCCTCAGCCCGACCTGCACCCTCTCCAATCTGGGAGCCCTCAGGGGAGCCCTCTCCAATCCGGGAGTTTCTGTCTGTCTTTGCAATCATATGAGTGAATTGTCTGAGACCCCAACTCAGTTTGGTTTGTTGCTCACAGAATAATAGAGGCATTTTTTTTTCTTTGCTTCATTGGTGAAGATTTCCTGGAAATTTTAGGATATCTTTCCTTTAATTTTTCCTAGACACTGATTTTACTTATGTCTCTCACCTTTGCTTTCCCTCCATCC